GTTGTGCAACTAAAGATATTTGACGTTTTGTAGGATGCATACATCAAATGGACCATCGAAGCCATTTTTCATTTATTCAACGTTAAACAAAAACACACTGCCTTGCTGTGGTTGTGGAGAGGAGTCTGTTTAGTAGAATAAATCATTAACAAATAAATCTCTTTACTGCAGTGAAAGCTCATGGAGAAAGAACTAAAGGAAGTCGGCGGGGAGAACAGAGTCTAACTTAAGTTTAAAAACCCTCATTATCGGTTACCCATCAAAACAAATATATTAATACCTACAATTCAACAAATAGTGACTTAACTCTCATTTTTAACGGGCTTTTCAGACTGGGTGACTTTGAGATCTGTCAATATGAGCAGTTATCCGCTTTATATCGATATATGGTAGAACAGGCCAATCTGTAAAAACTTGTGTAAAGAAAATCTGGAAAATAGTGTCTTAAATAAAACTTTCATTTTTACAACCATGCCATCCCCTTTCGCTGCTATAAGCTAACTGAGCAATAGATAGCTCACAGTAAAATACAGAAAATAAGGTGAAAATAGCCATCAAAACTGCCCCGAATCTGCTAGTGTTGGAAGATTCTCTGTTTATTTAGATACCGGGAATGTTTAATTAAAGAATAAGGCAGGTTTTGGTTTAAAATCGATACACTTACTTGAGCTAAGAAGGATAACGCGTGTTCACCAGGCGGCAGGCACACACAGAAAGGAAGTTACGTCATTGGAAAAATGCGGAAAAAGCTTTTCTTCTTCTTGAGTAATATAAAACTAAACAGGGTTCATCAGGAGTCCTACTGCACCGGAGGTCATTGCAAGTTCATTTTAAAGCTACGTAGCTTTAATGGAATGTATATATATATATATATATATATATATATATATATATATATATATATACACACACACATATCATAGATCTGAATGTATGACGTGCGTTCATTGATTACTTTGTTCTGCACAAAGTTAAACATGTTGACAACAAAAAAATTACACAAAAATGATCAATTGAGGTCTGGATTTTGAGTCACAAATTTAAATGGAAAAACACTACATGCTCATCCAACTTTGATATAATGCCCTTAAAAGTGGTGAATTTGCCAATCCCTGGGAGTTCTTTGGCCGAGCATCTTGCACAGTGTCAGGCTGTGAGTACAACACCCATCTGTGAATGTTGGGCCTTCATACGATCCTCATGGAGGGGGTTTCTAACCATTTGTGTGTAGACATTTGCACATTTGTGGCCCGCTGGAGGTCATTTTGCAGAGCTCTGGCAGCGCTCCTCCTTTATGAAGTAGCACATCAAACTTGGCACTAGCAAAGTTGTTGTTTTTTTCCTTTTCAGCTGCAAAAATAAACTACAGGTTTTATATGTGAATAGTTTTTTTGGAATTGATAAAGTATTTTTTTTATCCAAATGTTTGGAATGAGATATGATATGCTAGATACAAATGTGTGTGGTACCTTTACTGATAGTGATCATTGCTTGCTTTTTTAAGTTTGTTGGCCTATACTTTTACCTGTGTGATCTGAAAACTGAGTATAGGAGCACTTGTTTTTATGACCCACTTTAAAAGAAGCACTTAGGCACATGTAAATGTAACAGCCTGCATTACTGTTGGTGTGAAGCATGACTTTAAATGTTTAGACAAATAACATTCCAGCTGTCTAAAGAAAGCAGGACCATTAATTAAATAAAGCATAACTGCACCAATCTCCTGCTGTCAAAACTCCTCACAATCTTAATGTTGCTTTGAATGAAATTATTTTTTTGCTTCCATTATCAGCACAAGGCGAACATTATCTGCCAATGTTAATAAAGCTCATATTGATGATTTAATAAGCCTGCATGTGGCACTATTTTGAGACAAAACAATGAGGGCTGTACACTTCCTCTCAAGTAATCACTGCTAACAAAAAATACAGTATCATCACAATTATATCCCTCCTTATTGCCAATCAGTCTGCCTATTAAATTGATATTTAAGATTAAATCTTTAACAATTTTCCCAATGACACAATCAGACTGAGGCCAGCGGATCATTTTATTCCCTTGTGAACTAAACGTTTCCAACTAAAAGACAGGCTGACAAAGGAAGAAAAATAAATACAAATCATTGAAATTTTATAATGTGAGCACATTTATTGAATTTCTGATACAATGTTCTACATCACAACGTTTACAGTTTACATCAGTGTCCCACGGAAAATAAAACAGCCAGACAACACAAAATAATACATCACAACACAACACCATCTACTGATCTCATTATTAAACCAGAATAGACCAACAGATCTTAAAACACGATCAACAATTTGAACAAATGTTTTAAGTTTGGTTTTGGTTGTATGAATAAAAGAACAATCATTTCAGTGCTCGGAAAAGAAGCACCAATATTTGACCGTATATCTTGTCATTCAGAGCTTCCTTCTGGGTAGGCTGAGTTGATATTGCCCTGATATACAGTTAGAATGGAAGTACCGATTCCTGGTATCATTGTTTTATTTAGGAAAAACACTTATAAAAATCGATAAAAGTTATCAAAAGAAAACATTTATAAAAAATATTCTATTAACCGTTTGGATTTACAGACAAGGAAAACCTGTAAAAAATTGAACTCAGACAATGGCCATAGACATTCAGAGGAACTGTGACTATGCAGTGTCAATACCAAGTCTCAGTTTGCTTACTATCTGATATAAACATCTATATGTATGTGTGGATTAAACTAAGCAAGCTGCTGTTGGGTTTCATAGGAATAAGGAATAGAGTTAACTCTATTTTAAGACTTATTTACATGCAACTTAAAAGTAAACTTTAAAAAAAGCTACAAACTGATATCCCAATGTCCAATCTTTGAAATAATTATATCTAATACCTCTATTTAGCAATAAGATAAATAACTTAAAAATAACTAAATGTTGCTTAAATTTCTAGCTACAACTTCATAGTAAAACTTCACCTATAAATGATTAGGAGTAAATAAAGCAGCTATAAACAAGTTTGATATAATTTATAAACCTTATTAAAACTGCCAAGATAAATTATTTTTAATGGGCAAGATAGGAGGCAAAAACGACCTGTTTCTTGCCAAACAGTGAATCTACAATAAACTATGAAAATACTGGCATCTTGACTGCTTATAAAGTCTCAATAACAGGTTTAACTACAAAGGGGTATTTTGTAATGACAGTTTTATTGTAAATTGTACCCATTTTGTACTGATTATAACTTACCAGATTAGCAGTTTTTCTTTTTATTAAGCACTTATCTGATTCCAGTCATGGGGGAAAAAAATCCCTTTTCTCCCTCTGTTCTTATCTTAATTAATTCTTCAGGTCATATAATTTTAGAACAACAAAATTTAAGAAAGAAATGGTGATTGAACTTTTTTCCCCCAACATGACTGTATATCTTAACACACAAAGCTTGATGCCGATTTCACAAGGTGTTGCTGCTTGTTCTTCCATGACATCTTTTATATTAATTTGGCTTGTTGAATTTTACCTGTATTTGTAAACACTGGTCAGTATGACAATGATGTAATAAAGCTGTGTAGCTCCCATGCATCACAGTAAATTTTAGCATCATTTTCATTTGAAGTAGATTGTATGACATTTGCTTGTTTTGCACCATCTATTCCCAAAGTTTGTAGAATGAATTTGCATAGATCATTTATTTGCAATTAGTCTGTACCATTTTTCCATTTTGTTTAACGATTAGGCCCCCCCCCCCCAAAAAAAGGAGTGAAATCTAAAACCATAGCTTTTAAATAAAACAGCACTGAGTTACCAGGATCTATTGTTAATGAGATTTTGTAGATCCCTCACAAGAACCTGACATAAAATCAACAGTAATGTATAATCTCTACAAAAAAATGTGCCAAATAATACTTTATGTAAATTACAGAACTACTAATGGCACATTTTATTGGGAGCTCTATTGTCTCCTGGTGTTGTAAAGAGATTTTGATATCAAATTGCACATTAAATTTAATTCAATTTGTGACTATGTTTAAATTGGCTTTATGGTATGTCTGTGATGTAAGAAGAAGCTAATAAATTAGATATAGATTTCACACAAAAGAACACTTAAAACTACTGCCACTTATACTGATTCCCTTCTGAAAAGGTTAAATCCACTGTGTTACCTATGATTTATTTCCTTCATTGAGCTACTACTGCAGCTCTAGTGTCTCAGTGATGCAGCATATCAATCCTGAGACAACTGTATGGCTTGGACAAGCTACATAACAACAAACACATCTTAGAAATAAAGAAAAAAAAATACATTTGAACTGTTCAATGGGAAGGTTTTAAGACTGTTTTAATTAAAAAAAATAATAATCATTCCTTCTCTGGCAAAGCACGAAATTACTCATTTAACAAATCCTGTTTGTAATTAACAAAAAGAGATTTTACCAACTCAAATTATTCCCAACATAAAATATTTTGTCTTTTTTTTTTTTTTTTTACAGAATTTAAAGATGCAAAGTTTTTTGGGGGGAAAAAAAGCATTAGTTACCATGCAGTGCTATATATACTAATGGAGTGTTTATGAAATGAGAGATTTCAGTGAGTTTTAGGAGTTCTATGCATAAACATAACATTTAAGCACGTTGTGTTAGTTGGAATTAGCAGGCATGCATGTGAGGAACGACACCAGGCTAAAACTTCCTGCTGTTTCTGTTTATCGAAAATCTTTTATTTTTTTTTTATAATGATATAACAATAATTGCATTACCTCCAGGACAGAAATCCCATATCGAGTTACTGCTGTGACTGCATCAAATATTGTTGGCTNTACCAAGCTTAACAGGAAGTAAAGACTTCAAATATATAACTGTGTGTAACCAATCCTTAAAGGATTGTCACTTATTACATTAAACTAGTGAAATCAACTACTACCTTTTAACAGTCTCTGTCAGATCTTTTTATTCTGAAGGGAAAATTCACTTTTCATTTGTAGGTGTACACCTTGTACGATTGTTTCTGATGTGTCAGATGGAGAAACACTGAAGATTTAAACTTGATTGTTTCTGCAGCGGGTACCGATCACAGAGGTCTAAATCCTACTGCATGAGCAGTCTATGGAAGCATCACTTGTAAACTTGCATGCAGCTGTACTTTGAGGAACATCAACTGTCCATAAATGTATTGTCAGGCTAAAGCTTCTAATTTTCCTTACTAATTTATTGAACGTACCACCCCGTTAACAGAGAGAAGTTGGTCCCCTCGTTTAAGGCCTCCATGTCGGTCAGCGATGCCTCCTGGGATGATCCGTGAGATGTAAATCGGGGAGTTTTGTTCCTTTCCACCCATTATATTAAATCCTAAACCTTCTTCCGTCTTGGGCAGTTCAACCACACGTGGATGTGAGTGTCCCTCACTTGCTGCGAAAGCTGCCACTGTTGCCTAAAAAAACAAAAAAAAGTTTACCATTTGAAAATATGCTGCCTTCCACTGCAATAGGAATTTATGACTGTTCTGTATGAGCAAGTAGCTCAAGGTTTACCTTAGCTGTGGCGTTGGCTCGCACCTCAGGACTGCTGTTAATGTCCACAGTTTCATACACATGTTCATAAACCTATAAGAAGTATTAGACTATAAACCAATGCAGGATAGAAAATAGCCTACATAGTCTGTTACTGAAAGCCCCTTACTTCTCTGACAGCGTTGCAGAATTCACTCTGCAGGACCCTCTGCAGCGCCTGCAGCTTCTGAGGGGGAACTTCTCCCGTCCTCTGTAGCTTATCCAGCAGCTCAATCGCACGGTTGATATCTGTCAACCAGAACATAAACAGCTCCGTCACTGTTTATTATTCACCAACAAAGCAAGGTTCATGATTTTGTGGGTGAAAATTAGATGCTGCAAAACGCAATAACTGACGCTGGATTATAATACATAAAATTAAAGGGTTCTGCCCTTGTAAATCTTACTGTATTTAATAAAATTTCTTTCCCTGTTCATTCACCAGCTTTACCACAAATCTTTTTTATATGCTGTTGAAATGATGGTACTCCATGGTACTCTAAATAGTTTTAGAAATACCTAAAATGTTTTCTAACAATTAAAATTAGACACCCTTTGCAAAGCCTCCAAAGTAAAGCCAATTGTTTTACTTCCACAAGGAAATTTCTAAACCAACCTATTAAATTCAGTTGGGTAAACAAATCATTTAAACTTCTTTTTTTGTTTTTGCAGACACAAAAGAGGGGAATTCATCACACTTCCTTGATTTTATCTTGTTTAAATGAAATGTCCGGATCCTCTTTTTATTACTCCAATTATGGAAATACAAAGCAATCTTTGTGCTTTTACTGCAACTCTAAAAAAAGTTTGGTCCTTCCTAATAATGGTTAAAAGCTAATAAAATGAGGCCACATATTTAAGACAGAAATATATAGTTATAATCATTTAGGTTCTTGCATAAACATGGGTAAGTATGTGGTACAGAGCAATGCCGCTTAAAAAGCTATAATTAGGGCTGAACAATTAATCAAATGAATTGGGATTAATCAATTACTGAAATAATCATTCACTTATTTAGTAATTATTAATCATTAACTTGTGTATAGCAACTCTAAAACTAAATACATATAAACATTTTGCATTCAAGGTGATGAACCTTTTTTTTCCCCATTAATATGCCCTATCCTGAGGTCCTCAAATAGAACATGTTTAGCTTCACTTGATTTAAACTTTGAGTAAAATCGTCTTTAAGGAACCTTTGGTCATCTAATTATTAATCGAAAAAGAATCGACAGATAAATGGATGAACAAAATAGCCGTTAGCTGCAGCTTTAGCTTTGACAACCAAGCCCTGTCACTACCCGATCCGTCCCGGAAGCACCATCCGTTCTGTGCATTGGCCATCAGGTAATTTGCACATCCAGATATACATCTGGGTCGTCTTCGATATTGTTTTGTTAAAAAGACCTAAATGACGTTTTCCCTCCCCGAAAATAGTAAACGTACAAAAATATAATGTATTCCTGAGAATATAAATGCCTTAAAATCTTTTTTTTTTTTTTTTTTTTTACAGAATTTAAAGATGCAAAGTTTATTTGGGGGAAAAAAAGCATTAGTTACCATGCAGTGCTATATATACTAATGGAGTGTTTATGAAATGAGAGATTTCAGTGAGTTTTAGGAGTTCTATGCATAAACATAACATTTAAGCACGTTGTGTTAGTTGGAATTAGCAGGCATGCATGTGAGGAACGACACCAGGCTAAAACTTCCTGCTGTTTCTGTTTATCGAAAATCTTTTATTTTTTTTTTATAATGATATAACAATAATTGCATTACCTCCAGGACAGAAATCCCATATCGAGTTACTGCTGTGACTGCATCAAATATTGTTGGCTACGGGCAAGGAATTTCCTACAGCTATTCCAAATGAACCCAGGATCAAATATATCTATATTCCTCCTTATATGATTATTGCGCCAGTAATCAAAGTTTTGAATACATTTTAAATATCAATTGTGAAAATCTGTTTTCTGTGTCATATCTGCCATCGTGCAGCTTTCACTGAATCAAACAAGCCTGATAAACAAGGGAGATTCCAAAGGCAGGCCCAACAGAGGGAGCAAATCTTATCATTCATTTTTTAACGATGGTAAATCTTACAGTCGTAACCCAAAAAATTGGATTCATATATATTACTTTAAGGCTTGCTACTAAATTCAGCAGAAAAACATCTGAAACTTATGGAAACCACCAAATAAGAGGCCTTCTACCAGTGTCTCCATCTACAGTTTTACACCAGAATGACGCCCGATTAAAAAAAACCAACAACTCTGTTCTTACATTTAAGCACCTTTAAGGCTCCAGTGACGTTTGAAGCTAATCACTTCAGAAAGAAAACGTTCCGTGTTAAAATGTTTAACAGTGACAATAAGATGAGTGGTATGTGAGACTTAATCTAGCGTCAAACATAGTGATGGTGGTATTAGGTTGCGGGACAGCTTTCCAGCAACGCATTGAAGAGAAAGTTTCCATCAGTAAGATATAAAATCTTCAGTATAGCCTCAAACTTTCACATAATTAGTGAAACCGGGAAAAAGCTACACATTCCAACAGAAAAACAATTAAAAATAAACATGATTTCTCAGGCAATACATTGTGGATGTACAATTCATTTGCTACCCAAAAATTTATTAATGAGCATATGCTGAGAAATATGATGATAAAATGAGAAGCTAAACAGGTTTTTACTTGATTCTGTCTGACTGCTGAGTTTGTGCTTCTGATGGAGTCAAACTCAGAGAAATGTCAGAATTCGAGGCTCTGAGGAAGCGGCTCTTTCCCGCTCTTGCTGAGATCCCATTAAATCCCTGTTGGGCATTTTTTTTATCGTGCACAACCGGCCTAAAATATTTTTCTATTGCAGAGATGACTGTAAAATACCATTCAATTCAACATGTATAATTTAAAGTTTGCTCGCTTGGATTAGTTTGCAAAGTATTTAATTACCAGTACTTGTTTCTAAAGTGTTAAAATAAGCAAGGTACATTCCCACAGCACATGATATAAATATGTTTGCCCTGAGGCACTTGGTAGTGGCCGTGGTAAAAAAAAGAATAAAAATATTTCCCGTCAAAAGGAGTGACACGGTTTACCTCCTAAGTACAACCAAAATCTGCATTCAAAATGTCAAGTTACAGACAATCATCATCATTTTAGTGTGTCTAGAGTTTTAGTGTCAAGTACAGTAACAGTGGTGAATATTAAAATGCTACAGAGGAGATGAGAAGCACAATATACAGCATCTGTTAGAAAGAACTAAAATTAGTCCAGCTTTTTTATTCCTTATGTTTGTGTGGAGGGAGCAGAGTGAAGGAAAAAAGGAGATAAACGAAAGACTAGAGCGGATAACCAAAATAACTAGAGTAGGAGACCCAAGGGAGCCGAGGAGGAAGCTGGAAAAATAAATCCTACTGCGGATAGTTGTTCTGTTGCCGGCGCTTTGCCGACCTCATTTTCTCAAATCGTGACTCCATCTCCTCGAGGACTTTGGGGGTGTACCTTACAACCAGCTTCACTGTGCCCTGAGCTGCTTTGAGGAGTTCCACAGCTTTCTCGTGGTGCTCACCCTCCACGCTCTGAAGACACAGAAAACACAGATATATCACAACCTACAAATCTCTGTTCCAAAAATGTGGTTTAAAAAGAAATACAATAAACAACTCAGCTTCTTCTACCATTTCTGTAATATAATTTGATTCCTTTTGCACAGATTTGTTAGATACTGATATATTTGAAGTGCTAAATTTGATGATTGAGACTCATGTCTAATAAATATCTTATATTATGTTTCTGAAACATTTGGAGTATCAGATGAGCCCTATGAAAATTATGTTTTTAATAAATAGTCCTTATAATACATCAACGGGAGGATGGCTGACAGCTCGATGGCACTCTGATAAAGGTGGTTAGTAAACAAACAGAACCTGTCTGTTTCAGAACTCCGTTTTCAAGTGTTAACAACAGCTGAGAGGAAAGAAAAGATGAAAATTGTTCACAAGCAACTCAGACTGTGAAGCAGAAATGTAAGAGTTAAGGGGTTGGGTGAGATTCAAAAGGAAATGTTTAGGATAGGGGCTTTAACTGTGGCAATCCTGGTATGAATTTTTAAGAAAAAAACATGTCAGAAAAGTCTCACCTGGGCAAAGAGATAGCAATGGACTGTTATCGAGTGTAGCTGAAGGTACAGCGGGAAGTTTCTAGAGACAGCAAAAAAATTCAGGGTGCCAAATCTTCTCCTGGTGTTAGTCTTATGTCAGAATCACACCAGGAAGCATTCAGACCCCTTTATGCTTCGCCCTGCAGGCGGGCTTTATGGAGAAGCTAATAGAATATTCCAGCAGGTCTTGGTACCTCCCTAAACAGCTAAAGATGCCAAAATGCCAGCCTGATGACTTGTACTTGATTAGGCAATAAACTGAACTAAAATGCTATAGAGGAAGGACCTCAACACCTTAACTAAACCATGTTACACTGCGCTGATACACACATTCATATAAGGCTGAAACAATTTATCGGGTTAATCATGATTACTTGATTATTTAAAAAATCGTCAATTAATTAAGTAATCAATTAATCGCTAACTGGACAATGGAGACTGTAAAATATGCCACAAAAACAGACATCAAAATTGTAAATAAATGTAAAAACATTTTGCATTTAAGTTAAAAAAAAAATTGTTCTTATGTCAATATGCTCTATCCAGAACTCCTAAAGTTTGAGTTTCACTGGTTTAATTTAGTAAACAGTCTTATTTAAGGAAGCTTTGGCTGTCTCATTAATAATTGCTTAATTGAAAAAATAATAAACAAATTTATCGATTTGCAAAATAATAATCGTTAGTTGCAGCCCAACATTCATACAAAATTAAAAGCAGATTAAAAGAGTACATATAGTGTACATTACATGGAAATACTTTTTAAAAATCATTCTTTATCAGTATCAAGTAAACCTAAATGTTAGTTTCATAAAAAAAAAATACCAAGCTTAACAGGAAGTAAAGACTTCAAATATATAACTGTGTGTAACCAATCCTTAAAGGATTGTCACTTATTACATTAAACTAGTGAAATCAACTACTACCTTTTAACAGTCTCTGTCAGATCTTTTTATTCTGAAGGGAAAATTCACTTTTCATTTGTAGGTGTACACCTTGTACGATTGTTTCTGATGTGTCAGATGGAGAAACACTGAAGATTTAAACTTGATTGTTTCTGCAGCGGGTACCGATCACAGAGGTCTAAATCCTACTGCATGAGCAGTCTATGGAAGCATCACTTGTAAACTTGCAT